TCAGGTGTCTGAGGCTGGATTTGAACTCAGGTCTTCCAGACTCCAAGGCCAGAGCTCTATCCACTGTGCCACTTAGCTGCCCCCAGGCTCATTCTTAATTGAGAAACCCAAAGGGAAAAAACAGTCATTTGTCCAGCCCAGATCAGCACTGGGAGACAAACAGAAAGGTCTATGGACATGAGGGAATGGGTTTGACTGTGAGTGTGCTGTGGAACATTTCCTGCACCCAGGTGCTGAGCTGAAGGGCAAGATGAGGTCCTAGACCCACACTGGGGTGCAACATTTTGCAGGATGTAAGAATAGGTGAACCCTAGGAGCTTGTCACCTACTACCCAGTTCCAGGTCACAGATCCAGGTTGGATTAAGAAAGGGACCTGAGCTGATGGTGAGAAGTGGTTGCAGAGCCTATCTCTTGTATCAAGTAAAAAGAAATTTAGAAGGGGCAACAAAATGGTGGCTCTGGCCTCAGGAACAGAGTATCAGCTGATTCCCAGTTTCTAGCTCCAGCTAAAGCCTGCAAAGGAATTAACCAGGCACAAATCCCAGACCAAAAGGAAACCTGCATTTCTGTCACTCTGAACCAGCAGAGCTTTCCCCCCAGTTGATGGTAGCTGAGTCTAGCAGTAGTCTGCTGTTGCTCAAACCTAAACCCAGGTCAAGGACTTTTAGAGTCAGACTTTGCCCTGGATCCGAGCACTCCATGAGCACATGGAGATCCACAGCTTGAGATATTCCTGCAATCCTGGAATAACAAAACTCAGTATCCCCAGCCAGAGGACCAGCCTAGACCTTTCCCACAGAAACATGCACAACCTTTGGACAGAAAATCCAACAGAAAGATTGGAAGAATAAGCAGAAAAGAATCCCTCCATAAAAAGTTATTATGCTGATAGAGATAATGAAGGCACAAACCCAGAGGACAAAAATGATTCCAAAATATCCATAGGCAAAGCCTCAGAGTACAACACAGCTTGAATACAAATTGAGTCAGAATTCTTGGAAGAGATGAAGTAAGGGTTTTGGGGGTTTTTTAAGTTAAAAAAATGCTTTTATAAATGAAATTGAGTTCTGGTGGGGAAAAAATTGGAAAAGAAATAAGAACTATGGAAGAAAGAATTGGAAAGGGAATTAAAAGCTTGGCACTAGAAGTACAAAACTTACCCAAGCAACAAACTCCCTGAAAATTAGAATGGCTCAAATAGAAGCCAATGACTCTATGAGACAATAAGAAATATTAAAACAAAGTCAAAAAATAACAAAAAATGCAAGATATCTCATAGCAAAAACAACTAACCTAGAGAACAGATTGAGGAGAAAAAAATTTAGCATCATGGTACTTATGCATGACCAAAAAAAGAAGTTAGAAATCATGTTTTAAACAGTCTTAAAAGAAAACTGCCCATATCTTATAGAACCAGAAGACAAAGTGGAAACAGAGTCCACTGGTCACTGCCTGAAAGAAACCCAAAGTGAAGATTCCCAGAAATATCATAGCCAGAATCCAGAGCTTCCAGGTCACAGGAAAAAAATAAAAAAAACTTCAAGCAGCCAGAAGGAAAGAATTTAGCAGTATGACCTTGGGGAAGGAGTCATAGTCAAAATCACACAATTTAGCAACCACCAACTATAAAGAAAGCAAGCTTGGAATATGATGATCCAGCAGAGAAAGGATATAGGCATATAGCCAAGAATAACTTGGGGGGGGGAGCATTTATGTAGTGCCTACTATGTGCCAGGCATTGTACTAAGCACTGTTTTTTACAAATCACTCATTTGATCCTCATCACAATCCTGCAAGAAAGGCACTATTATTATCCCTACTTTACAGTTGAGGAAATTGAGGCAAATGGGTTAAATGACTTGCTCAGTGTCCCAAAGGTAGTAAGGCTGGATTTGAACATAGGTCTTCCTGACTCCAGACCCATCACTATCGACTGTTCCATCAGCTGTCTCAGCAAAATTGGGTTATGATCCTACAAGGGGAGAATGGGTTATTAATGAAATAGAAGTTTTTCCAAAAATTCCTGATTAAAAGACCAGAGCTGCACAGAAACTTTGAAGTTCAGACACAGGAGTTAAGACAAATATATAAAAGTAAACACAAACTAACATAAAGAACTAAACAAGGGTGAACTGCTTGGGGCAGCTAGGTGGCACAGTGGGTAGAACACCAGCCCTGGAGTCAGAAGGACCTGAGTTCAAATTTGACCTCAGACACTTGACATTTCCTAGCTGTGTGACCCTGGGCAAGTCACTTAACCCCAATCACCTCACCAAAAAGCAAAAAAAAAAAAGTAAACTGCTTGCATTCATGTCAGAAGATGTGTCCTCTCTGAACTTTATCTTCTGTCATCACATAGAATGTTTTATTGGACAGAAGGCCTGCAAGTGATTCTCTTATGTCTTGATATTTTAAAAGAATGTCTTTAGTAAACTTAATAAAGGCAGACTGAGGTCCATATTTCAAGCAAAATGAGTTTAGCGACGGTGACATATAACTTTAAACAAAGTAGGTCAGACTAGCCACCTCAGTAAAGCAAGCAACCCTAATGAGAACAGGGAGACCCTTGTTGCAGACACACAAGAAAGAAGGGGACCTTGGTAATCATGGAACATTATAATTGGCTATAATAAGAAAAATGGGCTGGCATTCAGGTGAGGCTAATCACACCCCTCTCTGACAATTAAGGAATGTTCATTGTTTTATAAGACCCATCTCCGTCTTGTAATCTTTGCTAGGGAATCAAAACTACCAGACTTGCTGTCTCCTCAGAAGAGAGAAAATCTCTCCGAATTTCACAAAGACTTGCAAGGACAGAGGATCTTTTAGAGATGGTAACTTGTGGGGCTTGGAAGTATCCCAGGGGCTACCAGTATAAAAGATAACTTCTGTCTTAATTATATTGTTAAACTAACTCTGAGGGAAAATTAAATTCCTGAGCTCACTTCAAGGATAGAGCAAGCATAAGGCTTTAGGCAGATACAGACTCAATTATAAAATCAATACAGCATAAACTCAATTACATTGTAGAATCAATACAGAAGAAACTAGAGGTAATATTAATTTTGATTGTTTTCAAGAAGAATGGAAAAAGTGAGATAGTGCATGAGGCAGGGTTGGGAGGAAGGTTAGGGGAAATTATTTCACATAATCGAGATAGTCTCTACAAACAAGGAGGAAGGGATGGAGGGGAATAGCTGACACTTGAACATCACTTTCATCGAAACTGGTCAAGGGAGGAAAGAAACAAAATTGGGAGCAGAAACACATTTCATATTCCACTCAATAAGGAAATAGGGAAAGGGAGAAGGGAGAAATAGAGGGAGGATTAGTCCTAAGCAAAACAAACTCTAAGGATATACAAAAATATATAGCTCTTTGTGAAGTGGCAAAGAATGGAAATTTGGCAGGAGTGCCATCAACTGGGGAATACTATTATGCTGTGAGAAGTAATGAAGGAGGGGCAACTAGGTGGCAAAGTGGATAGAGCACCAGCCGTGGAGTCAGGAGGACCTGAGTTCAAATCTGGCTTCAAGACACTTGATACTAGCTGTGTGACCCTAGGCAAGTCAACCCCAATTGCCTTACCCCCGACTAAAAAAAAAGTAATGAAATGGTTTCACAGAAACTTGGAATGACTCTTACGTACTGATGTAGAGCGAAGTGAATAGGACCAAGAGAACAATTTATAAAATAACATCAGCAAAGGCAAACAACTTTGAAAGAATTAGGAACTCTTATCAGTGTAATGACGAACCACAGTTCCAGAGGACTAATAATGAAACACGCTACCCACTTTCTGATAGAGAGGTGAAGGACTTGGAGTGCAGAATAGGATAGAAAGATAGAAATACACGGAGGTACATAAGTTTCTTTCAAACATGGCCAATGCAGAAATTTGTTTGCTTAATTGTACATATTTGTATCAAGGTTTATTTGTTTTTATTCTCATTTTAGGGGTTGAGAAGTGTGAATTTTTACTGACTGAAAAAAATTTTTTAATTTAAAAATAAAATGTATTTAGAATTAGGAAATGTAGGCTCTGATCTCAACTCTGATTACTGCTCGTTGTATGACTATGGGCAAAGTGACAACCTCAGCCTCAATTTGAAGCATCTCATAAATGTGAGTTCTTCATAGTTGCTCAAAGGTTACAGACATGTGTTCTTTCATTAGGGACAGATGACTTGAACTTGCTGAAGGCAGGTAGGAACTCTCTTAGTTTCTCCTCACTTACCTTTCAGATAGGTTTCAACTCTTTGTTAACTATTTTTGTACTGTATTTTCCAGTCTACAGGTCATTCTCCTTTGTAGGGAAAAGAGAGGCAAAAGCAGAGATAAGTAGTTCTGTCTTCTTGCAGTTGTCCATTACTATCACCATCCCATCCTGAACACTAATCCTGTCCCGTCTTTGAAATCCCTGTAGAGCCGATGCAGTTTAAAAAGCCCTTTTTGTTGTACTTAGTATCTGTCCCTAGCCTCTGCTCATTCTCATGCACCTGATGCTGTCCTTATGGGACCATGCCACCTTTTTGTATTCTTAATCAGTTAACTGCCTTTACTTCCAACTTTTAGATTTATCTTTTCAGAAATTAGAGTTGGTCAGTATATTCCCTGATTATCTACATCAGAGCCTTTAGACTCTTCTCTTTTTTCCTTCACAATGGAATTATTTGTCATCAGAATTTAGTTCATTTCTCTTTGCACTTTTTAAAATCTCTATCCACTCCTATGATTTCCTTGTCCTCTATTTCCCAAACTTGTTTGAGAGACATATACCTCTATATTCACTGCAAACATTTTTACCATTATACATTACATTCTGCACTTCTCATATATAAATACAGATGACATACACACACATACTAAATGTGTATCTGTCTGTATGTTTATGAATGATGTATACCTTATACCATAAGGTACACTTTCCTCTAACTCTCTTCAGCATTAAATATGTCACCTCCTCCCTATTCCCAGGGCCAAGGAGTGGGACTGCAACATGAATGTATTGTTTCAGGTGTTGGTGACTTTCACGGATGTGACTGTGAATTTCACCCATGAGGAATGGAGTCTTTTAAACCCTGCACAAAGAGGCCTTTACAAGGATGTGATGCTAGAGAATTATGAGAACGTAGTCTCACTGGGTAAGGTCTGTCCCCAATCAGATCCAAGGTTTTTACCTTCTACCTTTGATGAATATAGACTATGGAAGGCTCATTTGATTTGGAGTTCAGTCTCTAGCATCAGAAATTCCCAAATACATCTGAATTCAGACAGGAAATTTGTCTTCCCCGGCCCCCGCCCCCGGCCTGGTCTTGCTGGGTAAAGAATGAGCATCTTCCTTAATTCTTCCCTGAGATTGCACCTCTTCCTCTAAATTCTCTTTAGGAACTCCAGGCCCAGGACCCTAAAGTCTGTTCTGGATATTTGCCTAGACTGGTCCGGCCTGTTATGGCCTCCCTGGATGTTATTTTTCTTATCCCTTCTGTCCCTTGCAGGGGCTGAGGCTGAGCTTGGGACAGCTCTTTGTACCAGACAAACCACCAGGCCCTGTTTCCTTCCTCACAAACAGGGTTTCCAGTGTGTGAACCTGATGTAATATCCTATTTGGAGCAAGGGGAAGAGGCATGGGTCTTGGACATGCAAGAAGCTGAGGAGAAAGAGATCATGAGAGGAGACTGCTCAGGTGAGTGCATAAGAAATTTTTAGTCATTAAACATTTATTTTAATGCTCCTACATGAAAGAAATCTGGGGGTTTTAGAGGACTGCAAGCTCAGTATGAATCAGTATGCTGAGAATCCAAAAATACTAATGTATTCTTAAGCTGCATTAATAGAAGAATAGTATAAACAGTAAGGATGATATTAGTTATGTCCTTACACTAGTCAGACCACATATGAATATTATGTTTAGTTCTGGGAGTCATATTCCACAAATCATGCTGACAAATAGAAGCATTAGAGCAAGAGTGACCAGGAAGAGGAGACCAGGACATATGAGAAGTGGTGGAACAGGGGTGTTTGTCCTGGAGAAGAGACTTGGAGGAGACATAATAGCTGTGTGTATGCATTTGAAGGGCTGTTTATCAGGAGGAAGAGTAGATTTGTTCTTCCTGGTCCTAGAGGGCAAAATAAGGAGCACTTAGAAATTTCAGGGAGAGAGATTTTGTTTTCAATTAAGGAGGAATATTTCCTAACAGATCCCTCCAAAATTGGAATGGCCTCTCTATAGTGTTAGACAATTTTCCTTCACAGAGAGACCAATTTTAGAGAATGTTGTAAAGGAGAAACCTGTTTCAGATATAGGTTTGACTAGATGAGCTCCAAGGTCCCTTCCATCACTGAAACTCTGAGAGTTGGGAGCTTGCCCAACTCACTTGTGTAGCCTCAGGTACAGGCCAAGTGAGTCCATGAAAATGGCCAATATTTATTGTAATATTTATGTATTTCTTAACCATTTTACAGGTAGAAAACTATGCTATCTTATATTAGATTCCTGTCTTTTGTATGTGTCACTGATGAAATTTTTGAGCTTTGTATCCCCAACTCCATTTTCCTAAATAAGCTCTCTAGTTTTTACTTTTGAATTTTGTACAGCAAGGTACTTTTGGGGAATATAAATGTTGTATTTTAGCAGAATTGGCATGTATGTACAAACAAGATATATACAGAACAAACTGGAGGTAATCTTGGAAAGAAGGCACAAGTATTACAAGGGGATTGGAAAAGCATCTTGCAAAAAGTAGGATTTTAGCTGAGACTTGAAGGAAGTCAGGAAAGTCAGTAAGCAGAGATGAGGAGAGAGAACATTCTAGACATAGGAGACAGCCAGTAAAAATGCCTAGAATCCAGAGGAGGTTCTATTTCCTTTTTTTTTTTTTTGCTTTTTGGTGAGGCGATCTGGGTTAAGTGACTTGCTCAAGGTCACACAGCTAGTAAGTGTTAAGTGTCTGGGGCTGGATTTGAACTCAGGTCCTTCTGACTCCAAGGCCAGAGCTCTATTCACTGCACCACCTAGCTGCCCCCTGGAGGTTCTCTTTCAAGGAACAGAAAGGGGGCCAATGTTTATTTTATTGCAGTTGGAAGGGGGAATAAGATATAAGAATACTATAAAGGTAGGAAGGGGCCAGATTGTGGAGGTCTTTAAAAGACAAACATGATTTCAATTTGATCCTGGAGGTAATAGAGAACCACTACATTTAATTGGGGGGGGCAAGGAGGGGCAGGGTGCAATGGTCAGACTTGCATTTTAGAAAGATCGCTTTGATAGTTGAATGGAGAATAGACTTGAGTTGGGAGAGATTTGAGGCAAGGAAACCAACCAGGAGATTCCTGCAGCAATGCCAATAGGAGGTGATAAGTGCATGCTCTAAGGTGGCCACAGTGTCAGAGGAAAGAAGGTGGTATACACAAGAAGTCTTAAAAAGGTAAAACTGACAGACCTTGGCAACAGATTGCATAAGGCCAGAGGAAAGCAGGGAATGTGGTGTGGGGAGGGGATGTTGAGAGTGAGGAGTCAAAGATGACACCTAGTTCATAAGCCTAAGTGGCAGGGAGCATGATTGTGCCTTCAGAAGACATAGGGAATTTAGAAGTGGGGAGGGTTCAGGGGGAAAGATAATGAGTTCAGTTTTGGACACGTTTACTTTAAGATGTCTGCAGGTACAATACAGATACAAGGCTGGAAGTCAGCAGAAAGGTTAGGGTTGTATAAATCAATTAGAGAATCACTTGCATATAAATGATATTGAAATCCATAACAGCTGATGAGATCAAGTGGAATAATATAGAGGGAGAAAAGAGACAAAACCTTGGGGCACACCCATGATTAGCAGGCATGACCTGAATGAAGATCCAGTAAAGGAGACTGAGGAATGGTCAGACAGGTCAGAAGAATACCAGAGAGCACAGTGTCAGGAAAACCTAGAGTGAAGAGGGTGATCAAGAAGGATGAAGATTGAGAAAAGGCTATTCGATTTGACAGTGGACATAACTGATAATGTTGAAGAGAGGAGTTTCCATTGTAAGATGAGGTTGGAAGCCAGACTGTAGAAGTGTTAAAAGAGAATGAGGTGATAAGTGGAAGCACCAGTTTTAGATAGATTTCTTAAAGAGGTTAGCTACAAAAGGGAGGAGAGATGTAGGGTGAAACTGGGGCTGTCAGATCAAGTGAAGTTTTTTGAAGGACGATGGGGGAGACATGGGCATGTTTATAGGCATCAGAGAAGCAACAAGTAGAAAGGGAGAGATTGAAGATCAGTAAGAGACTAAGGACGATAGAGGGGGTAATCTGCTGGAGAAAATGGGATTACTTATGAATGTAGAGGTTACCTTGGTAAGACAGGCCACCTCTTCATGTGAGACGGGGGTGAAGGAGAAGGTCACAGAAGACATCTGAGTGATGTGAGATGAGGAACAGGGGTGAAGAGAGAGCTTTTGATGGCGTCAGTTTTTTCAGTGAAATGTAAGGCAAGGTTCTCAACTGAGACAATGGAGAGGCAGGGAACCATGAGAGTCTTGAGGAGGGATGAGAAGGTTTTGAAGACCTGCTGGGGTGAGTGGGACAGTGAATCAGTTAGGGAGGTGTGATATAACTGAGGACAGAAGTATATAGCACTCCTTTAGAAGCCTCTAGGTAGGATTTTATTGATCCCTTAATTAACACATTTTGAATTCGGACTTTAAATGGTTTGATAATCATCGTACTATCATCAGGTGACTAGCAGCCTGACCACATGTACATCATTAGGCTGTTAAAAAGCCTTGCTGAAGTGTCTACAGTATTTCCCTGATGCTTACTGATCCAGTAATTATTTTTAAAAGAAAGAAAAAAGAAAGGATTAATCTAGTGTGCATAGAATTATATACTTCTTGACTTGAAAAGAACTTAACAGAGACCAACTATTTAACCTATGAATTTCATTTTAAAGGATATCCTTTATAACAGTAATCCTGAGAAAGTCCTTTTTAAAAAAATACCTCCAGTTATAACCTCTAGTCAGTAAATCCTGTAGCAGTACATTCATTGGATAGGCTTAATTTTTTAAAAGTTCTACCTTATAAATATGCCTAAATCTACTTTCCTGTCCCATTGTTCCTACTTCTCACCTGGATTTGCAAAACTAATCTGATCTTTGGTCCGTATAACTTCAAATACTTGAAGTTATCATGTTCCTTTTAAGATTTCACTAAAATGACCCCAATTCCTATAACTGTTACTCATATGACATGATTTGGAGTCACCTTACCATACTAGTCAGCCTGTGTCAGACACAATCATGTTGGTCAGTGTCCCTCTTATAATGTGCCCAGAATTTAATACAGCCTTTGTCATATGGCCTAAGTACTTGATATGTAAATTTGGATACATGCTCTTTAACCTCTGTGGTTCATTGCCTTTTCAGTAAATGAAGAGGGGTTGAACTAGTTGATATATAAGAACCTACTCATCTTAAACTCCCCTTCCATATTTATTGTTTTTAATATTCCTACTTATTCCCAGTTCCCATTTTAGGCTAGTCCTCCCTCTGGTCACTCTTCTTATCTACTCCAGTAGGACTACACTGTCCCCAGTAACCTCCTGAGGCTGATGCTGATATTTATTAATACTAGTGACACTGTCATGGGAAACATCTGTGTTCTGAATATTGTCTTTTTTCCACCCCCTCTATTCCTTTCCCTAGGAATAGAGAAAAAGTAACATTTGTGGTTTTTTTATTCCTTGTTTCAGATTGTGAGACCAGGACTGAGAATAAGGATCTGTTGCTAAAGCAGGAAATTTCTGAAGTGGAATCCCAGAATATGATACCGGAAAGACTCGTGGGGGATATTCCCCATGGACCCAAATTTAGAGAAGCCTGTGAATCTGATGACAGGTCAAAGGATGGTGTGCAGCCTTCTACAGGTAAATTCCTTTCTCAGAAGAGACATTTGAGGTCAATGGTAGGGATGGATCAAAATCTATCTGAAGGAGAGAAAGACCAGAAATGTTATGAATTTGGAAGAAACATCAGTCTGAACTCTAACCCTGTTGGAATTTCCTCAAGAGAGAAACCTCAGCAATGTGATAACATGGGCCAAAGATCCATACAGAATTCAACCTAATTATACATCAGAAAAACCATACAGAAGAGAAATCCTATAAACCTAGAAAATACAGAAAATCATTAAGGCAGAATTCAACCTATGTTAAACGTCAGAGAAAGCGTACAGAAAAAGTTTATAAATGTAATGAATGTGGGAAAGCCTTCAAACAGAGTTCAAGCCTCATTAGACACCAGAGGATTCACACAGGAGAAAAACCCTATGAATGTAATGAATGTGGGAAAACATTCATTGCATCCTCAAACCTTATTCAGCATCAGAGGGTTCATACTGGAGAAAAACCATATGAGTGTAATGATTGTGGGAAAGCCTTCAGCCAGGGGTCAAGCCTAATTCGCCATCAGAGAATTCACACTGGAGAAAAACCATATGAGTGTAGTGAATGTGGGAAAGCTTTTAATGTCTCCTCAAACCTAATTCAACATCAAAAAATTCACACTGGAGAGAAACCCTATTCATGTAAGGAATGTGGAAAAACTTTCATCCTAAATTCTTACCTTATTAATCATCAGAGAGTTCACAGTGGAGACAAATCCTTTGAGTGTAATGAATGTGGGAAAGCCTTCAGTGATCGCACATCTCTTATTTACCACCAGAGAATTCATACTGGGGAGAAACCCTATGAGTGTAACAAATGTGGGAAAGCCTTTAGTCTGAGTTCAGGCCTCATTAAACATTTAAGAATTCATACAGGAGAAAAACCTTATGAGTGTTATGAATGTGGGAAAATCTTCAGGGCATATTCAAATCTTATTCAACATCAGAGAATTCACACAGGAGAGAAACCTTATGAATGTAAAGAATGTGGAAAGACTTTCATTCTGAGCTCATACCTCATTAGACATCAGAAAATTCATATCTCGTGAATGTAGCAAATATGGAGAAAAACTAGTATAAGGGCATCTAGCATTCAAGATCAGAGAATTCTTGCTGGAAACAAAGCATGGGGATTAATGATTGTAATACAGTCTTTGTCCAGCACTCCAGCTTTATTCACTATCATGGGAGAGAAACCTTGTGACAGCTCTTTCAAGTCAAAATTTTAGTTTGTCAGATTCTCTTCTAAAGGTGATATTCTTGCCTCTCAAAACACTGTTCACAACACTGATTTATGCTCCACCAGTGGCAATATGGTAGCAACTACCTGAACTTAAAAACAAGGTGAATGGTTTACCTGACCATTCAAAGAATACTCCTCTGTTCAAGCTGCGCCTAGGGCAGTGTATTGCACATAGTAGGCATTTAACAAATGTGTTGAATTTTGCTTAATCAAAGTTAACCTCCAAACTATCTTATATCAGAAATGTTTGTCTTTGTTAACTCAGTTAAATTAAGTAACTTTAAGCAAATATTTCATTTTAATTTGGTAAGAATTTAGAGAAAACTTTATTAAAAAATTTTTTTTAATTATTATGGACCTGACAAAGCATCAACAAACACGAACATTTCCATATAAAAAGTAAAGAAGATTGTATGTGATACCTTGAATCTCTGATGAAGACAAGCTTGTTTTTTAAAGTACATATTAAATTTTACATGTTATTTCTAACACTATCCTGTCTGTGTCCCCTTCTGAACTTCCTTCTGTTTTCTTATATGTAATTTTTAAATGTTTTATTACCTCTTCCTAGTTTTTGGAATCTCGATCAATTCACCCTCTACTCCCTCCATATTTCTCTCCCTACAAAAAAAGTAAAAACCCTTCCTTGTAACAAATATAGATGTAGTCAAAAAAACCAAATCCGCACATTCACTGTGCATGTCTAGAAATATGTCTTATTCTGTGCCTCTAGTCCATTGCCTCTCTGCCAAGAGGTAGGAGGTATATAATTCATCATCACTCTTCTAGTCATGATTGGTCATTGTATTAGTCATAGTTCTTAAGTCTTTCAATTACTTTTCTTTACAATGTTGTAGTCATTGTACTAATGGTCCTCCTGATTACGTTCACTTCACTCAGCATTAGTTCACAAAAGCCCTCTCAGGTTTCTCTGATCCTTTCATTATTTCTCATGGCACAATAGTATTCCATTACATTCATATACCATAATTTGTTCAGCCATATCCCAATTGATTGGCATCCCTTTAGTTTCCAGTTCTTTGTTGCTATAAAAAACTGCTGTAGAATTTTTTGTACAGATGAGTACTTTTCCTCTTTCTTTGATCTTCATTGGGTATAGGCCTAGCAGTGGTATCACTGGGTCAGAGTTTAAAGGCCACAGTTTAGTTAACTTTAGTACAGTTCCAAATTGCTTTTCGGAATGGTTTGAACCACTTATCAGCCCACCAATGGTGCATTAGTGTGCCTTTCCAACCAGAGACACTCCAACATTTGTCTTCTTCCTTTTCTATCATTGTCAGTCTAGTAGCATTTTTCCTTGGGATTATTGATAGTGTGCTAGAGGAACTTTTTTAAACAACCAGATTCTGGGTTATACAATAGGTACCGTTCTTCATTCTCTCCCATTTTTATTCTTAGTCCTGTCCCTCTTTGCCCCTTAACTCAGTTTTAAAGAGTGATACTAGGCCCCTTTTAAGTTACATATTCTAATGAAAGCAGCTTTTTGTATGCTTAAATGCGCTAATTGTGGTGAAAATACCTTTCTGTTTTAAGGAATGTGTCTCGCTTCTTTGAAATAGTTTGTTTTGAAGCCTTTGCTGGTAATGACAAAGATGTCATAGCTATTTTTCTTTATTGCAATAGCCTCTCCGAGCTCTCCATTTCTGTTGCTCTCATTTGACATCACAGCCAAAGCAGTTGTCTTAGCCGCCAGACTTCCTTCCATAGTTCTCCTTTCAGCCATCAGAGGATGACCAGATAGAAAGGAAGATTTTAAAAAAAAGTTCTATCTCTTCCTTTCTCCCCATGAGGAAGAAGGAAGAGAAAGATATAACCTCTTGATGGCAGGAACATGGACTCTTATGACCTGCCTCTTTAAACAGTAGATGGTCTTTCCTGTTTTCCCTTTAAAAAAGATTACTGTGCTCCTGCTTCCTGCCTTCTAACTGGATGTAGTTTAATTTACATTCCAGGTAGATATTGATGCTTGTGCAGCTATGTATTTTATATCCTTGTCATTTGTTCTATGTAGATGAAGAGCCTGGCACTTAATTGGTTAATTCATGAGACTGATGTGGATTTTTGTGCTAAAAGTGTTCTCATTCATTAAAAATAATAATTTGTTTTTCAAATAGACTCCATTCTGTTTTCTAAATTCATTACCCTTAATTTCACTTAGAAATACTTAATGTAAATTTGTTTCCAACAACAACAATCACTTATTAACAGCTTCTGTGTAGGCTACGCTACTCCCAGGGCTCACAGCCATAAGCTGCCTTTCTGGGTGAGGGAGATTTCAAAAGGGGGCAGAGTAGACTATATCCAAATTCTCCTTTAGTTCCAATGATCACGAAGACTAGAGAAAATTATGGCTTCTGAATGAATTGAAGGACACCATTCTATGCTGAAAATCCATCAAAGTATAGGTATACATATTTTTAAAATATGTTATCTAAAACATTTTAAAAATATGTTATCTAAAACCAAAAACAAATTTCATATGCAATGAGGATACACTAGAAAGTATCCCTATAAATACAGGAACAAAGCAAGGATGCCCATTCTCTCCACTATTATATATTTCTAGAAATGCTAACAATAAGGTGAACAAAGAAATTAAAGCCATAAAGATAGATAAAGAGGGAATAAAATTATCCTTATTTCTTAATGACAGCAAATCTTAAGGAATCAACAAAGATACTAACTGGTACAATATAAACCCTCAAAAAGCAATAGCTTTTCTATAATAACAAAATCTTAAGAAGAAATAGAGGAAAGGAAATCTCATTCCAAGTAACTATGAAATAGATAAAATACCTGGGAAGCAGTCTACTAAAGCATACAAAATACTTACATATTTTTAATTAAGAAGTTTCTTAAAGAAATGAACAACTTTAGAAACTAGAGGAATATTCATTGCTCATGTCTGGATCATGCCAATATAATAAAAGGGACAATACTACTAAAGTTAATTTATACTTTTAATGCTACAGCAAGTTATCAAAGATACTTAATAAAAACATCAAATTATTTTGGAAAAATAAAATTATGGGAAAAAAATAAGGGGTAGGGACAAAGGAGGAATAGCACTTCTAGACCTGAACTAAAGTAGAAAGCAGCAGTCTTCAAAACCCTCTTATACTGGTTAAAAAAAATAAATGGAACAGAGCAGACTATGGAGAATCTGAAACAATGGAACTGAATAGATTTTTTTTAATTTCCTATTTGACAAAAATTGAGAAAACTGTGGAGCAGTCTGGCAGAAATTAAGTTTAGGCCAACACTACGCCATATTCTATAACAATCTACATATGTGACCTTAACATTAAAGATCATGCTATTTTTAAAAATTATAAGAAATGCAGATTATATACAGATTATGTACATTTCACTGCTATAGGCAGGAAATGTATCCAACCAAATAAAAGGTACACAAAATTAAAAAAGATAAAATAGATAACTGATTACATGAAACGGAAAAGCTGCACAAACAAAATCAGTGTGCCTAGAATAAGAACAGAAGTAGTCAAATGGAAGAAAAAACTTTTGTATAAAAAAGTTCTCTGATAAAAATTTGGCATCTAAGATACATAAAAAATTTATACACACACACACACACATTGTCCCAAATGTCTTAGTGCCATTTTGAGCTTATTACTTGGGCAATGGCTAAACAAATTGTGGTACATGAATGTAATAAAATGTTAGTGTGCTGGTAGAAATTATAAAAACAGAGAAGCATGGAAAGATCTATGTAAACTGATACAGATTGAAGTTAAGTAGAGGCAAGAAAACAATATACACAATAACAATGTAAATGGAAAGGAAAAAGCACAAACCAAAGGTGAATGTTGCAAAATTACAAGAACTAGAATGAAAGAAGAGATAATAAAGATACCTCTATCCTGTACCCCTTGCAGTGGTTGGAGGTTCATGAATGGGGTACATTGCATATATTTTCATGCTTTTTCAGTGCATGAATCAATTGTGTTTTGTCATTAAAAAAAAACTTTTATATGGAACAGCTTTGTGGGTGGGAGAGAAATACTGGGGAAAATTCTGATGATGTAAAAAAATGACATCAATAAAAACATTTTTTAAAAAAATTAAACCCTAGGAATCAGACCCTAGGACTAAAGTGTTAACATTCACCAAGGAATGTGGGCGCCAGCCAGATAGAAATATAATTGGGAAATATTTAACAAAATAAATAAAAATACAACAAAACATTAATATGTGGTTTTCTAAGTATGCTGCCTGCAGGGATCCTTATGTATATTTGAATTTTATACCACTGCTCTAGGATATTTTTATCTTTTTTTTTGTTTGTCCTTTTTCTTTATTTAGTTTTAGTTTTCAACATTCACTTTTATAAGATTGAATTCTTAATTCTTCCCCTCTCCCTTCCTCAAGACAGCATGTAATCTGATATAGGCTATACATGTATAATCATTAAACATTTCCACATTAGTCATGTCATGAAGAATAATCAGAACCAAAGAGAAAAACCACAAGAAAGAAAAGAAAAAAAGAAAATAGTATGCCTTGATCTGCATTCAGACTCCACAGTTCTTTCTCTGGATGTGGATAGCATTTTCTAGCAGGAGTCTTTTGGAATTGTCTTAGATCCTTGCATTGTTGAGAAGAGCTAAGTGTATCAAAGTTGGTCACATTGTTTCTATCTTAACCTTTTCTTGTGGCTTGGACTACTTTGGTAATCAGGTGACACCTACAGACCCCATCTCAGAATGTTTTTTCAGTGCATAAAAGTAAAATACTTAAGATTACCAAAGGTTA